CAGCAAGTTGGCCGAGTTTGCAAGCTGCTCCAAGGTCGTACTGCACAAGGGTGATCTTTCTCTTCCGCGCTGCGGACTAACGGAAGCGGAGGCCGAGTCGATTTCAGCCTCAGCAGACGCCATCATCCACAACGGTGCAGACGTGTCGTTCCTCAAGACATACCAGTCTCTCAGGAGCGCCAATGTTTCCTCTACAAAGGAACTCGTGCGGCTCGCATCTGCTCGTCGTATTCCGCTCCATTTCGTCTCGACTGCCACGGCAGGCAAGTTCAACAAGTCCGAGACGCTAGCTCCAGAGTCGCTCGCCCGCTTCCCCCCTCATCCAGACGGTGGCGCAGGGCTAGCTAACGGTTATGCGGCTTCCAAGTGGGTCAGCGAGGTATTCCTGGAGAAGGTCAGCCAGCAGATCGGCCTACCGGTGTTCATCCACCGGCCCTCAGCCATCATGGGCGATGATGCAGCTGAGGACATCATGTCCAACCTCCTCGAATATGGGTCCCTGATCAAGGCGCTGCCTGACTTGAGCCGCTGGACAGGCTATGTAGATCTTGTCTCTCTCGAAAACGTCACTGAGGGCATCGCTCATTCGGTCTTGCAGGCGACTATAGGTGCTGACAGCAACTCGCGAGTCGAGTATCTGCACCACGCAGGTGACCAGATCATCCCCGTGCAGAGTATTCGGGAGCTGTTGAGCGGCGAGGCGGGTAGTGGGCTGGATTCGTTGCCCATAGGCGAGTGGGTGGACGGTGCGGTTCGGAGTGGTATGAATCCTCTTGTGGGCGAGTTCCTGCGCGACGCCGATGCGCATGGTGGACTGCAGGTCGGACAGAAGCTGTTATTGAGCAAAGAGAACTAGATGCTACTTGTGGTGATGGCTATGGCAGATGCTTTACTTTGTTACTCACTCGGGAGCACATGTTAGGGAGCTAGAATAGGCGTTGTGGAATTGCTCAGGTTGGGAGGACTTTGGTGATATCCGGCATAGTTTGGGGAATGGATACAAGGTAGAGATGTCATTAATATTGTTTTCGTGCGCATACCTACTCTATGGAATCTGAGGCAGTTCCGGATGAGAACACGATGCGCGTCAATGGCAGACGCGTGCTGGGCGCGTCTGGGGATTTGGAGTTCGAGAAGCGGCGCTGGTGGCGCACGGGCCGGGTTGACGTAATCACATTTCCAGCCGATGCATAACCTTAGCATCTAGCTTTTACCTTACTCTGCGTGTTCTTGTTTACGTGCTTGTCTTATAATAATCTAATTATAATAACTTTAATAGTACTTTAAGTAGTTAAGTATATAATAACTATAATTTACTAATAATTAAGTTTAAGCTAGTATATCTTTATATATATTTATAGTATAGTAATAAGTTTTTAAAGTAACTTTAAAATAAAATAGCTTATACTATAAAATTATAGTTAAAGTTTAAGTATATAAAGTACTATTATTATTTTTTATTATAGTATACTATTTTTATTTAAACTTTTTATTAATATATTTACTTAGCTTAAAATTTTAGTTTTAGTTTTTAACTAAAAGTAAGTATACTTATTACTACTACTAAAATAGTACTTTAGTAGCTAGTTACTAAAAGTAATAAAAATAATTATAAAAACTAAAGTACTTATTAAAAAATATAATAATACTAAAGTATAAAATAATAGCTAAATAATTAAGCTAGTTAAGTTATATTACTAAAAAGTTAGCTTAAGTAATATAAGTAATAATAATACTTAAAGTACTACTAATAGTATATAGTAATTAACTATAATAAAGTTAATTTTATTTAGCTAAAAATTAATACTTTAAACTAGCTACTTATAAAGTATATTAATAATACTTTTAGCTAATATAAAATAAAGTAGCTTAAGTATATATATATAAAAAAGATTAGTATTAGTAATACTATTATTACTAAATATAGTAAGTATTTTAATTTACTTAAATAAGCGTAGTTTAAAGTAGTAAGTATAAGTTAGTAAAAATAATAAAATACTAAAGTAAAATTATAAGAAAAAACTTACTTAGAGACTAGCGTCTTAGTAATAAAATTATATTAAAATATTAGAAACATTAGAGCCTTGCTCTGCGTCCTCTAACTTTAAGTCGCACTACACAATATTGCTTCATAGCAACTGTCTTGGTCAAGACCGCAGCAACAGCACGTTCAAATCAGCAAATCCTCCTCGCTATACCGAAGATGCTAATTAACATAGCTTCTTCTTTAGTTGCGTCATCATCTAATTCACTGCACTTCGCGACTGTCCTATCATCTGGTCAAATCGACACCTCGATTATGTCTACTGCAATACCTAAGGGAAGCGCCATTAAGATGTGGGTTGTCATATCGTGGAGTAGCTGATGGACGCCCCCGGATCACAGTCGCTAGAATCTACATTCGCGATCTTAGCTCTTCACGACAACTCAAATTTGATAAGGTACCTAGGTATACGGCGCATGGCCAGGCCAAGAAACTTGTCTTCTACTGACTACCATCCAAAGTGGGCAGTCTTTGTCATGGCAACATTCCTTGGACATTCGTTGTCACTGGTCATGAAAACCCACGGGTAGCGCTGCCTGATCAATCATGAATTGGTTGCGACTCTTTCACTAATTGTTGTATACAAACATTCTCCTCCTTCGCGCGTGCCCTTCCGTGGAACTTATTAACCACTCCGCGAAGTCTGTCTCGCACTGTTTACACACACCGAAGTTATTCCTTCTCTTCCTGCCCGCTACGTATATAATCTCGACCCATTCTTCCCTCCTTCTCTATACCCCGCCCTCTTGTTAATAATCTCCAAAAGACTTGAAGCTCTAGCTATATTCTGTCATAATGGTTGAGTTTAGATACAGTCGACCTGCCGGTAACCGAGTCTGGCGTGTAGACAATGTCCCACGCGCCGCGACTGAAGACGACATCCGCGATTTCTTCCAACAGCATATGATCCTCGATCAGGTTCGCGCAGCTCATCCACGAACAGGGGCGAATTCGAGTGTATATGTCATGTTCGGGCATATGCATCCCGTACACATAGCGAATGACTACATCCGTGGCAATCGTGTGCGCGTGGAAGCTGCTCCTTCTGGCAACTATATAGGTAAGTGTTCGATTTTGACAAGCCCTTCGCAAACTATTTGCTAACCTCTCCACAGTCAACGACAATCACGACGGTTTCGTTCGCCCTGGACTTTCTGGCCCTGACTCGGCCTTACCTGGACGGCCTTACGGTACTCGTGGGCTTACCGACTCGGACTTCCCAGATCTTGGGATCACTCGCGAAGACGAAGCACGTCGGCGCGAAGAAGAGGCCGTGCGGCGTCGAGAAGCACGAGAAGCAAGAGTAAAGGAGAGCCAATTACTGCAAGAAGAACACGAAAAGGTCGTGCGGGAGCGTGAAGAAGAATCTCGAAAGGAGAAAGAACTAGAGGCTCAGGCCAAAGCTCAGGCGGAGAAAAAACGTTTAGCACTCGCTGAGCTGATTCCACAAGTTCTCCAAAATCTGGGTGACGTTTTGCCCCCGCATCGCGTCCCTTCTCCCGATCTCGATAATCGAGAAGATTCGCGGAACCGACTACTCTTTATGACCGACATCCCGCCCGAGCTCGATAACGATGTGGTCATGGCGTTTCTCCACCCGTTTCGCCCCGAAGGTATCGATCGTGCTGAACTCGGAGGAAATCGCATGTTGTCTGCTATCGTCTTGATGCAAACAGCTGAGGGCCGCGACGAGGCTGTTGAGCAGCTCAATAGCACAACACTTGCAGGCCAGAGGGTTGTCCTTCAGGCTTTTAACAATGTCACTCAAGATGTCCTGGACCGTGTCCTAAACCCACCCGTTCCCAACGTCCCCAGCTCGTCGAATCCTGCACAGGCCTCGAGCTCCTACTCCCCATTTGGAGCTTCCCCAGAGACCACGTCGCCTGACCCGCCAGCTCCCGATATGTCGGCCCTCACGGCCGTGTTGCGCAACCTAAACTTAGTCCAAGACCCGACACCAGCATCACCACCACCAGCTCCCCGTGGACGTGGACGTGGACGAGGATCTTCTTCCAGCCGCCGCTCTTCTGGACGAGGACGGGGTCGGGGCACCGCGCAGCCGTCCGGTCAAGTAGTACAGCCACCATGGAATTACAATCAGACAAGCTACGCCCTGAGTCGAGCCGAAGCTGACCGCATCAATGCAGACCGGCAGCGTCGTAATGGAAATATCCGTGGAGGTCGTGGAGGCCGCGGTGGTAGACCAGGTGGCCGAGGAAACGGACGTGGTCAGTAGGTTGGAATGCCTCTTGCTTCGAAGATAGTGGATGTTGTTGCAGATTTTGATGCGTTTCGGACCTTTCGGATGCCTAGCGAAATGGTTTCCTTTCTCGACTCCTTCTTCTTATGTTCCAAGAGCAGGGCAGTTCGGGTGGACTTAGCCCGGTACCCCAGTGTCAGCACGACGCCCAGCCTGTTAGATACCGCGTAAATTTCGAATCTGCTATAAGTAGGAACACCATTAATAAGGCTGGAAGTACTTAGCACCATGATCTTTAAAGTAACAAACCCCCGTCTTCATTTTCCGTCTTTGCCTATAGTGGCCCGAAGTGAGCTTTTCCAATACTTTCCAAAGCCATGTTGTTTCATTGACCTTAACTAGATGCCGTGGCGTGGTCATGTAGGGAAAAAAGAAATGCGACCCACTGCACCCATGTAGTCAGAATGCTTTGTCGAAAGTGCACGATCGTATGTAACAGATTGCGCAAGAACATCAAAGGCAGTAGAAGCGAGGCAAGAAGTCTGTATGGCTGTAGCAATTTCTCCAAGTGGTAGTGTAGGCATGGCAGGAAGATGGGAGTTGATGAATTACGTGCATGAATAGACGATTCGCACGCTAACCACCCAAAGGTGCCGCTACTAAAACGCAAGTAGGTTTAAGAGCTATTCCACCATTCATTCTAAAAGAAGCGACCGCAGACACTTCTACATCCCCCAACCTCTCCGAACCCACCACTCAACCGAAGTGAGGAGCGTTAAGAACAATAGCGCAAGAAACACCACCGATAGTCCCCGCAATGGGAATAGTCATAATCCACGAAAACACCAAAAGCCCCACTCTTTGCCAGTTAACAGCCTTGAGCGTACCATTGCAAAGACCCACACCAACCGTCGCACCGGTAATACACATGGACGTCGAAACAGGAAGCGAGTACTGCGAGAAGATAAGCACCGTAAGCGCGGCACCCATCTCCATGGAGCAACCTCTGCTAGGCGAGTGATAAGTAATCTTATTACCCATGACCTTCATGATGTTGTAACCGTAAGTAACAAGGCCAAGGGAGAGTGTAGCAGAGAGGACGGCGAGTTGCCAGACAGGCACGGATGCTTTGGACTGCGAGGCTTTTCCTGTGTTCCACGCGCCGTAGATGACGGCCCAGGGGCCGACGGCGTTTCCGATGTCGTTGGCGCCGTGGGCGAAGGAGGCGGTGCAGGCGGTGAGGACTTGAACGAAGGAGTAGGTGTGCTCGACTTCGTTGGAGTACTTCTTTGCGTGGCTGTAGACGCGCTCCATGCGGCGGCCTTCGGGTGTGCCGTGGATACCAGTTTGCGCAGCGTGGATATCGTAGTTTACGCCGTAGAGGGCGCCGACGACGAGCATGGCGGGGATACGCTTGAGGGTGATGAGCATGTTCTTCTTTTCGTAGATCTCGCCCGTTTGGATCTTGTTCTCGTGGAGGTAGCGCATGGCCCAGCCGAGAGGTCCCTTCTTGGCGCGGAGCTTGGAGTGGAAGCGCTCTTGGCCTTGGGCGACGAGCTCCTTGTAGCTGGGTTGTTGGTGCTCGGCGATGTCGGTGGAGATGGCCATCTTCTCGTGGTCGTGGACGGTGATGCCCTCTTCGGAGTCGTTGTTCTGCTCGGGCTTCTTCATCTCTTCATCCTCCTGGACGACGGCATAGTCGGGAACAACGGCAGCCTCGACGCCATCCTGGGCGGGACGCTTGAAGAGAAGAGGGCCTTGGAAGACGTGGTACCAGCGGACGGTGTGGTCGCGCTTCACAACCTTGGCGTGTAGGTAAGGGACGAAGAAGAGGAAGGATAGGAAGGCTAGACCGACACCGCAAGACATGGTGACGGTTGCGACATACCACGCGGGCTTCTTGTTGAGACCGAGGTTGGGCGATCCCTTGTAGACGATAGAAAGTGTGCAAATGGTTCCAGCAACGAGGAAGAAGAAAGGTGCAGTCCAGATGGCCCATGGAATGGGGTTCTTGCGGACGTGGACGGTCATCTTGATCAGCATGAAGATGATGGCACCGAAGCAGGCAGAAGCGGCAGGTGCCATTCCGAGACCTGCGAAGATGGCACCAAGACCCTTGCCCTTGTTCCAACCCCATTGTACGTTGGCAGCACCAGCAACGGCGACACCAACACCAGCGACGGAAGAGATAAGCGAGTAAGACGATGAGACGTGAGCGGAGTGCTTAGTGCACCACTATTTACGGAGTCAGTATATGTTCCACATGCAATGAGTACAATGACACTTACCATAACCCACATGGAGGCACCAGCGAGAGCACAAGTGAATGCGAGCATCTGAACACCGGCATCGTCCTTGAAAGCATTGGGAGGGATAATGCCATTCTTGATCGTCTCAGCGGTACGAGCACCAACGGTGATGGCACCGACCATCTCGAAGATGGTACCCAGAATCATGGCCTGGCGGTAGGAGACCGAGCGAGAAGACACGGAGGTAGCCCATGCGTTGGCAACATCGTCTGTACAGTGTTAGTCTGAAGCATGATGAAGCGAGAACAATTTTCACGTACTGGCACCGTTGTTGTATGCATCGAGCATGGCAAAGAAAGTGCCAATGGCGAAGACATAGTTGTACTGTGTAAGACGCGCCATGATGACTGATCCTCGAGCAGTACAAGTCGCTCAATGACAAAGAAGGCTGTTTGAAGTTGGAGCTGGGATGCCGAAAGTAAGGAAGGGGCCTCTGTGAGACATGTATATATATTGAAAGAGACGCTTCAGGTCGCTCTTTGCGGCGGAGAAGGCCCGCATTGGCTTACGGCGTCTATCCCTTCGATGGATTCCAGACTGATGGGTGACATCCGACGCCCTGCATCTCCAGCTACTATACAGCCACCACTCAGAGGCCGCAACGTGAGAGCATTCGCCAAGAAAACGTGTGCTCGAAATGAATCTGTGATTGGGTAGGGCGTAGCAGAATGGCGGATTTCTTGCCAAGGCCGTCAAGATCTCCCCACTAGCGCAGTCAAGCAACTCCGGTGAATGATGGCGGAGCTTAGCGTTTTCAGCACGCAACCTCTCATTGAAGCTACCAAGCCGATAACTTTGACAGCCATGTCTCTTGGCCGCATCTTGGCAAAGCTCATAGCGTTCGGGCATGGAGTGGTCTCGTGTAGAAACGGCAGCCAATGGCATCATCGCACGCCAAAACGTGGGTAACATCAACGGTCGCCAGGCGTCGACATCCATCTACCAGCTGAACCAGGCCCTACCACGGCTCTGGGTCCTGCCATTTCTCCCACGCATGTTATTTGCTCGTGCGTTCATTCACCTTCCAGAACAGTGTCCGAAAGCTGACGGGCAGGCCTAAGAATTTGCAACAGACTCTGCTTGGCGTTTCCAGCATGCAAGCCGAAGATTAACGCCCATGCGCTACGCGACTGATATCGTGAGGTATACCGTCTCCGGAACATCGTCTAGCGGAGGTAGCTCCTGCGCGATTTTCGAGCACATCCTTCGCGAACGCCGAGGCTGCTGTTCTGACCAACAGTGAGTCTGCATTACAACACATGGTGTCGAAGGATGATCCAAATGCTGTTGGATAGCATTAGGAGGGTGTCGCGCTTTGATGTATGAAGATGCGGATGAACCTGTACAAAGCTAGTGACCTGCGAGTAACTGAGATTGTCGGCGACGTCCTGTGTCAAAGTCTCAAAGCGAGCTGTAATCTCGTTGTAGGTCAGACGAGAAATTTGATCTTGAAGTGCAAACTAGATAGAGGGGACCTCGCATGGCATCCCTTGGACCAGTGTGCGACTTGCCGGTCAACTCACAGTCCGGCTCGGTGGTATCATGCGTAAGCTGAGAGCCATTTACCAACAGAGGCGGACTCTTGGCCCGCCAGGCGCTATGAGGAAGTACCTCCATGACGGACTCACCATCTGCGTAGATGATCCCGAGGGGCTATGTTTGCCATCAGACTATGCAAGTCCGGTCTCTTGGGATGTGTACATCAGATAACGCAGCGGTATCCAGCGTTGGGCGACGATGTACATCCTATCGCTGCTGGTGTAAGATCCTGTCAATGCCTCGGTGGTGATCAGGACGCCGCGGGTGGTTTCGGAGACGAGATTCATTCCGCTGCAGTCGCCATCATCCACAGCTAACCAATAGATGCAGGCGGAGCGGTGCCTTCGTTCCTTAAGATCGAGGGTTCTCAAAGAGAGTATCAACGCGTCGCTATCTCCAATTACGTTGCAAGCGTGACGCGTCGAAAATCGAAATCCCTTATCCCTTCTCTTTCAATCGAATCGCGCTAGTCCAAAATGGCAAGCTCCTCTTCCTTACCAGAGAAGGACCGAAAGACACCGGTTGCCGCAACGACTTTCGATCCATGGCGCAAGATGATATCGGTGGAAGACGACTGTCGAAATGAAGGGCAAGTGAATGCGTCAGGAAGTTGCGAGAGGTAGTCAACTTAAGCTTGTGGAGCGCCCTCCACCCAGGTTTGGTGTGTGCCCATCATTCCACAAACCAAGCCGCCTGTGTGCCGACTTATCCGGCTTCGCCCTGCACCTACGGCATCTTTGTGACGAAACGAGGGAGGATTCAGGTACCCGTCTTGTAGGCATCTGCGATGGGTGGTAAGCTTTTCTTTTAAGCTTTTGAGTGGGTTTGAATGTGAAGTGACGATCGAGGTGGTGGAAGGTGAGAGTCAGGTTGCATCATAGGGCGATATACCGCGAATGCACATTCAAAGTATACATTAGAGGAAGCTGCCGACGACGCTTGCTTGGAAAAATAAATACTATTATTACATGTAAAAGGCGAGTCCGCCCGTTTTGTCCATTCCATTAACGCCAGATCATAGCAATCCGAACCACGTTTTCCTAATATCCCACACCCACTTCGCCCGGGAAGCTAGCCCAGAATTCCTGTGTCGCATTAATCATCATAGCCTCTAACTCTTCGTTCGTCAGGGCGAATGATTCGAACGAATCGAGGTTGAAGGTTTCGTCGGCTTCCAACGGGGGCACCGCTGGAGGCGTGGCCCACGAGAAGTTAGACGTGTAGCTGTTGGGTGTGGGCGCTGCAGCAGGCATAGGACTTGTAGCGGGTAAGGGGCTTCTAACGGGTGGGTTGGTAAGGTTGGCGATCATGGGTTTGCGCTGATCGTTGTGCTGTTGTGAAGGGGACCTGCTGGAAGCGATGTCTCGAGCATCAGCTGGCTTTTGTACAGGCGAGGGCTGCAACGCGCCGTAGTCGATCATGGCATGTCGCAAGGCTCGTCGTTCTTCGGGTGATGCCGGGCCGTCCTGGCCAAGTATCGAGCGGTAGTACGCTTGCATGCGCCTGATGGTATCATACTGGGGCTGTCAGTGTGCGTAAATTAAACGTTGTGAATTACTCACCCAAGTTTCTGCCATGGGCCATTGCGTCTTCATCTCCTTTAGGAAGTTGCAGCCCTGGATGACGCTCTTGCGCGCCTTCTCCCGCCAGCGAGGATCGTCATCACCACTTGGGAAATTGAAGCTGTACAACATTGCGCCGACTGCAGTGTAGATGGTGAAGCCGATCCACGGCACTAGACCTCTCAGGAAGTACACGCCGAAAGTGCGCATCTCTTCGAGCATGTCTAGGACCATGACGGAGTCTTTGAACAACTCCTTGCGTGAAGTCTTCTCCCACTTCTTCCACATGTCACGGTGTTCGTCGTAGGAGTTGGGCGTCTCTTCGGGGTTCGCCCCGTTCTGTTGCGGTCCCAGGACGGGCAGGTAGGCGCGATGCAGGAACATGTAGCTCATGAAATGTATGCAGTGCATGTAGCAATACGCTTGGCCTTGCTCGACGGCGTTGTGACTGTGGAGGGTGAAGAGGTCGTACTGCAGGCGCTGCGGGAGCGAGGCCTTCCAGCCTTCGAGTTCGTATATGAGCTGCTGGAACTGCGACGAGGAGGCCCATGGCAGTTCGCTCTTGAGGTCTTCGGAGCACGCCCAGCGCGCGACCTTGCCCCAGATGTTGGCAGCGCGCATACTATATCCGATGATGCCGATTTCTCCTACTGGCAGGGCTACTGGCGGCATGCGCTGTGTGTTGTCTAGCTGGGGTGTGCATACAGGCTCCCCGAAGACGAAGTCCTCGCGCTCGCAGGGCAGCTGAATCTTCATATCGGCGTGTGTCAACGATCGCTTGCGCCCCTTGCCGCCACTGAGCAGCGAGTCCATGAGGAAGCAGGTCCAGGCAGTCCGTCGGCGCACTTCAGCCTCGATGAACTCCTCGCGCGTCGGCACGCGGTTTCGCGGTATGCCAGTCTCGCGCGTCAGGTCCATGACTTCGACGAGGCGTATCGCCATGCCCAGGTATATCCACGCCCGCCTGCCATTGCCGGCGCCCCAGTCGTGGCCCGTCAGCATCAACAGGGCTTGGACGCGGCTTATCGAGGGCGTCTCGAGGTCCTGCTGCAGGATCTGGCGGGCGTGGGCGGCATAGGCATTGCTGGCCTCAGTCTGCGACCGGAAGGGCGAGGGCGGCTCCTTGACAAATCTACGTCATGTTAGATGTGCGACTGCCTGCGCTGTGGGTGCTCGCATACCTGATGGCCAGTGCCAGGATCGCCCAGGCCATCCATGGCTCGAGGGTGCGGTCGCGGATCCGGCGCAGCAGCGTCGGCGTGTGGTGGAAGCTCCACTTGTAGCTGCATCTGAGGTAGCTGTTCTTGACCTCGTCCGTCAGCAGCTCAAAGGGATCGAGGCCGTCGAGCAGCGCGGATGCCGCATTCGGCGACGCGTGCTGTGCCGCCTGGGTGCCGGTCGGCAGATGTGCGTCATGGCGGCCCTGACGGGGCGCTACAACCGTTGTACTCGAGTTGGCTGGTGTCGGCGTGTCTCCAGCGTCTCCAGCGTCTTCAGAGGGCCGTGGTCGCTTGGGCTTGCGGTGTATCGCGCTGGTTCCTGGCGCTATCGTCTGTCAACACGCGCACTATAGGGGACGGCAGGAGCTTCGACGCACCTGGGAACTCGCACCGATCGGCGCGCCCGCACTGCTTGCACCTGTCGCACGGCGGCCGGTCTTCGTGGATGCACTTCTGTTTGGCGGACCTGCAGGACACACACGCCACGGGATTGCGCATGGTCGCGATGCCTTCCAATGTTGGAGAGGCCAAACATCGACGGGTGAGGGACGACCCTGCCTCGGTCGCTCTTCCCCGTCGCGATCTGCTCTCCGCATCCCGTGCCTGCCCAACATTTGCGCTAGGGCGGCCAACGCCGAGCCCGCAGATACATGAACCTTATTCGTATTTCTTTTCGTTTTTATCACGAATGATCTATTTCACAATGTCTATTTTCTCGTCGCTACTTCTGTGCACCTTGGCTTCAAGTATGTCTTGCCTTGGTGAAGCAAACATTCGGCATGAAATATCCCCAGGAAGGAACGATCCTCAGCATCCACCAGGAAGTAGTCGCGACAACATCGTCACAGCCACCACCTGGGCATGCGATACAGTGCTCATAGATCTGGCCTATTGCCTATGAGGAAACCTGAGCAAGCTATCCCCTTTGCGGTTTGCTATCAAGACAGTCGTCATATCTTGTTTCCTCCAGCGTCTCCCATCCCAAAGTCAATTCCTCTACTCCCATTATATCAAGTACATTTTATAACTCAGGTCATCTTCGCAGCTGCTGTCCCTATGTCTCAGTACTGTAGACTAGACCTTGGCCCCATCTTCACTAGATTCTCATTCTTCACCTATGCTGACTCCGGCTGAAGAGCTACCGTATACGCAGAGCAGGAGATTATGAACCATCGTGACGCCTCTCATTCACCAGTCAGTCTCGGTCGCCCTTGTGCTGGTCTTTCAGCCACGTCTTTGTCCCACACGCATTCACTTTGCACGGACCCAACTACCACGCGTAGCTATCGTTCTTCCCCTTCACTACCACAATCTATTCGTAATACTCACTCGATTCCTGATTCGGGCTTAGTGGCGTGTACAATAGCACGTACTCAACCCCTGCTTACCTACACGAATTTGATCCGACATCTACTTGATCTTTTCGCTTTCCAAGTCCTGCTCTCGTTTTGACAACACGCCTCCCAGCCACAACACAACGCCAGTAAATCTGTCGAGATATTGCTAACCCCCAAACGCAATGGCTTACTCCTCGGCCGCCAACAGCCCTGGCTACCAAACATACGCAGTTCCTCTGGCTGGTGGAAAGAGGAAGCGAGCTACTGCGAACAGCCAGTCAGAATCGGTGAGCCACTTATCTTCAGATCTCTTCCTTCTAAACTAACGCAGACGTCTAGGCTGAACCCAATGCGACTCCCATCGCAGCGCGATCGAAGAGGAGTCGCCCCAACGAAAAGGACTATAACGCCAAGTACATGGCTGAGATTTGTTTCGGCGCGTACAAGGCGCGCTTACACATCGCCGGCTATTCGCAGTATACTGCCGACGTTGCGAATGACTGGCGAGAGGATCTTGTCGAGTTGTTCAGCCACGCCGCGTTGAAAGGAACCATGAAGCAGAATGCCGCGGCTCGTCATGTCATCCCTCGTCTGACATCTCTCATCCCTCAAAAGAACGAAAAGAAGGGCGCGCTTGTGAAAGACTTTGCGAAGCACTACGAGACTGTGCGAAATGACATGATGGTCATCGACAGAGTCATGGGAAATGGCTTCAAGGTCAACGAACAATCCATCGTCGAAGTACGCGAGTGTCTAAACGGCCTACACTATATTCTCGCCAAAGGAGAGCAATGGCGTAACGTCATGCCTTACACACCGCTGCCAATGTACCGGCTCCGAGCCCTCCGCGACTTGATAGAGTACTCACGGCCGCACCACCTCCTCGGCGATCTGATCACCAACATTGAAGACATGGAAGGCTGGCTCAGCCCACCACCTGCGCGTTTCAACTTTCCGACTGGTTCAATCGACGAGACACTGGAGACGTTGCAGAAAGCAACCGAGGACAAAATTGCAAAGACCAGCATCGGCCCCAACGCACAGCAGATGGCAGAATACCGAGCGCAAAAGGCCGAAGCCCTGCGTCTGCAGAAAGAGGAACAGGCCCGCCAACAAGAGAAGGAACGACTTGACGAAGTCCAGCGAGTTCAAGCAGAGCGAGATCAACTGAAGCAACAGATCAAGTCGCTCGAGATGACCGCCGCAAAAGAACGCGCTCAAGAGAGTGTGAAGAAGGTCGCAGAAGCTGCAGCAACGGCTCAACGCGATAAATCGTACCAGGATCAGATTGCGCAACAAACAACTGAGATAAACAAGCTCAAAACCGACCTAAGCAACCTGTCTGCTAAGCAGGCAGCCCAAACTAAGCCCGATGCCACTACGACATCGTCACTTCCAGTTACTGCAGGACAGACTGGCACTTCAATGAACTCTTCTTTCAGCAGCATTCAGACTGCCAACAGTAGCTTCTACCAGCCAAAGAGCTCTCTAGGCACTTCTTTCGGAAGCTCTATAAATGGTGGGTCGTATGGGCAGCTCGGTTCATTCGGCCAAGTTTCACATCATCCTACGCCGAAAGACGACGACGTCCAAATGACGGACGCTCGACGGGTTGATAGCTCGCAGCAACACCCTAGCTTTGGTCCGTTCGATCCTTCCACGATAATTACACGCGGTGTAGGCCAGTCAAACCCCTTCAATGCTCGAATCACCAATGGCGCTCCCTCACATCCCTTCGGAATATCAGCCGACGACGGCAACTTCAAGGCGGCGTGCCCAGCATACAAGAATGGGACATGCACATTAGGCAGGAGTTGCAAGCTACCCCACACCGCATGCAAGTTCTGGTTGAGCGGTAGTTGCAGATTCGGTGGGAGATGTAAACACAGTCACGATCCTTTCTTCCTCACAGAAGCCGCATCAAAAGGCCAGTCAAAACAGTTTCCACGGGCTGACCAAATGGTCATCGATCCTGTCTCTGCACCACGATCCAGCAACTTTTCCCAAACGAATCCCTTTTCCAGTCACCTGCCGGGTGGTCCAAATCCTTTCGGTGGGCAGATGAAAGGGAATGGGGATTCTACCTTACAACCTAAGCAGCAAGACCAGACTTTTGGCTTTCACACGAGCAACGGCAAGAATCCGTTCGCCCAAGCTCCATCACCAGCGCCAGCAGTGCGCAAGCCGACGCTTGCTGAGCGGGTAACAAGGGGTGACCAACCCACCTCTTTTGATAACCAAACGCCATTTGGTTACCATCTCCCACCAACGGGCCCCCGAGGAAACCGTTCACTCGCCGACAGGATAACAAAGAACGACCAACCCATCGCCCATCAACCTCAACATCAGGCTCCTACCATGCGCATCGAACAATCGTTAGAGGATATCATCAATGCATCTGGAGGGCGCAGGAACGAAAAACAGGCAAAGCCGCTTCAGTCGGAGACTCTCTGCAGGTGGCAAAAGACCTCGCCAGCCGGATGCACGAATACTACTTGTGGCTATAAACACGATCCGCCGAAGACGATGGCTATAAGGACTGGGATGGCAGGGAGTGCAAGGGGTTTGAGGAATCCGTTTAGTCAAATTGGGGATATACTGAGGCGGAATCGGTAGGCTGGAGGCTACGTTGGAGAGTTTGACGTTTGGAAGTTATCATGAAGTATAGATAATGGGTCGACAATGAGTTTATCTTGATGTTTCTGGGTCTTCTCGACTACTGCGTATCTTTTATACTGGGTCGTCATCTGTTCCACTTTAGGCTCCTACTCGGATGTACGTTCTTCTCCCGTCTATGCCGACCGCACCAGTGCTCCGAGATACGACCCTATTCACCGATGGTGTTTCGACCTCAAGCTGAAACACGCCTCATGGCTTCTATACTAGGATCTTTGCCTCTCACACAGCCTCCGCTACGTCAAGTGCGGTGTCCGACACTGTTCTGGAGCCGCTGGACAAAGCGCCACCAGACACGAGTTTTCGGACTTGATCACGGACAAAGCCGGGACTCACCCCATGACCTTTATAGCCACCGACTCTTTGTTGTAGCACTTCTAGCTATGAACCAGCGTCGAGGCACATCTTATGATCGTGACATTGTGTCACAAGCTGCGTCTGCATCCCAGTATCTTCCGTCAACCAAGAGCCCAAGTTCACGATAAACAATATGGGAATGACAAACATGTCGAACACATCAAACTCCACCAGCGCAGGATGCCAAATAGACATCATAAACCACATCCAAGCCATCCAACAAAACTGGTTCATCCACCCCTCCATCTCAGAAGAGCCCATCCTCCCCGCCTCCCTCCTCGCCGGCGTCCCAATCAACTGCCTCCCGGCCCCAATTATCCAAGCCATTCACGAGCTCTCCACACTAACGATCGGTCAAAGAGACCGAGCGCACAAACTCCTAAACACCTACTTCCAAGCGCGCATTCGCGAAGGCTCATACAGTGGCAAGTCCCAAAAGATCTTCGCCATCCTGGAAATCAGCGATGTGAAAAAGGCGTGTGAGAGTTTACGAAGAATGAGCCGAGGACGCGAAATGCAAGGGCCCGTCCCGATCAAAGAAGATGAAACGAGGAAGAGGAAGTACTCGATCAGACAAGAAATGAATACCGTTACCGCGGATGAAGAAGACGAAGACGCACAAAGATTAGCGAAAAGACTGAAAGAGGAACTATGCGTCATCTCCGAAGAAGACAACACTACCAACAACAACAACGAGCCAAGCACGCCAATCTGCATCAACTTCAACGATATACCCACGCCCCCGGATTCCCAAGCTACGATAACAGCAACACTTCCTTCTACAACTACCACACCCCAGACGCAGCGCCGCTCCCGGCCCCCTCCTATTGTCATTGCTGAGATTCCTACGCCTACAGCTACATCCCCTGGCATCGTCCCACCGTTCTCGTCTTTCACGCCCCTGTTTAATAGCCTGGCTCGGGAGTTTGGTGGAGATCCGGATACGCCGTGTCCGATACGAACGAATACGTACTCACAACCACAACCAGATCTCCTTAATAGCTATGACAGTGGGAACGGGAACGGAAACGATAATGCAAACGGCACTCTCTTTGAATCATACATGCGCGATACGTATCCAGCGCCGAGGATAGATCCTCGCGTCCAGGCAGCGCAGAGAACGACGCATGAGTTTAATTTGAGGAGGATGGAGGTGATTGAGGCGCAGAGAGTGTTTGAGGAGGCGAGGAGGAGATTTGGAGAGGCGAAGCGGAGGATGGAAAGTGTGAGGGGTGGAGGGATTTGGCGGTGATAGAGGGAGTGAAGTCACTGGATAGGAAGGTAGGAGGTTTTTGCTCGGATGGAGATACGTCTGTAGGGGTTTTAGAGTAGATGTATACTAGGTACGCTGCATTTAGCATCAATTACTTGAAGTCTTGAACAGAATGTTTGACACCTACTTTCACCAGTCAAAACGCCCAGTCCAAAGTCTGAAACAAAAGAATTTCCCAATTCCACTATTAGTACAAGCAGGATATCTGCCCTGTCCTGGCCGCACCCCCATCACACCTCATCACTTCTCTTCCTAATATCCCCCAACTCAACATCATCCTCATCCATCTCAACCGCACACCCATCATCCCTCCCGTTCGTCTTGTTCACCTCGTCATCACTACTATCCACATTAACAGGTGTAGCAATCCCTGAGTCCACAGCTCCAGGCGTCGTACACGCACTACCCCCCGTCTTCTTCGCTTTGAGTCCATACACCGTATTGAGTTCCTTACGCATTTTGTACTCCTTCTCACCCCACGTAAGACAGAACCCGATTCCCGCTAGAACAGCAAACACAATCCACACGCACTTCAGACTCTGGGTAAACGCATTGATGATCTCGGCTTTGATGGTGGGTGACGTGGCTTGCGTGGCGATGAAAGAAGCCGTAGCGCGTTGGTATGCCTGGCCATTCTCCAGTTTAGCGCGAGCCGTCGCGGAAGAGATGGTAGGGAGGAGAGATGCGAAGCGAACGTTGAAGATGGCACCGGGGATGGCGACACCAAAAAGAGAGCCCGTGCCGCGGAGGAAGGCCCAGGAGCCTGCGCTTGCGCCGGTTGTGGATTCGGGGAGCTTGACTTGTACGGCGGGGAGCATGGTGCTGATGACTATCCCGAGACCGGCTGCGGTGATGAGCTGGAGGGAGAGCCAGACACCGATTGAGGACTTGGCGTTGAGTAAGGTGCAGAGACCTAGGCCGAGGGTCGTCAAAGCGAAGCCGATGATGTGCATGGGTTTGTATTTGCCCCAGTAGCTGAGTAAGGGGCCGCCAACTGCGGCGAGGACGACGATAACGAGGGTCGTGGGCATGACTTCTAGACCTGATTGTGTGGGCGAGGAGCCCTTGACTGCTTGAAAGAAAGGCGGGAGGTAGAATTGGAAACCGTAAGTTATGAAGCCGTGCATGGTTGTTAATGCGAAAGCGATGTTTGTCGTGCGATTCGAGAAGACGTGCGGTGGCATGATGGGGTATTTGCAGTAAGAGCAGCGTTCCCAGAAGCCGAAGCCGATGAGACCCAGGATACCGAAGACCATGGGTATGACGACGGAGAAGTGAGACCAGGGCTTCGGTGCGCCGCCTGTGCTGAGGGAGACGAGAAGCATCAGAACGGAGCCCGTGAGCATGCCGCTTCCGACGTAATCCACCTTTCTCAGTTCTTGCCGCAGGGTTGTTCCGGCAGTAATGTTACTTCCACCGACATTTAGCCAGCGCCAGATGACAACCAAGGCGATGGCGCAGACGGGTATGTTGATGAGGAAACACCATCGCCAACCGTGTTCAGCGAAGACTCCTCCGAGGAGTGGACCGAGTGTGGTGCCAGCGGCGAAAGCAACGTGCTTGATCGCCAAGTACGGACCTCTCTTTCTCAATGGCACAATATCGCAGAGAATCATCTCGGCGAACAGATCAATTCCACCGGTTCCCAGACCTTGGACAATGCGTCCAGCGATGAGCACTGCGCCGTTCTGTGCGCCGCCGCAGATAGCTGAGCCCACTGCGAAGACGGCAACAGCAGTCATCATAGGAGTTTTCCTTCCCCACATATCTCCGAACTGAGAGTACAGAGGCTGGAAGATGGTGCTTGCGAGGAGGAACGCGGTCGCAACCCAGGAGAATTTGGTGCCAAGATCCAAGGCCTCTGAGATAGTAGGGAGGGCGGTGTTGGTCACACTTCCCTCGAGAGCGGAGAGAAGTAATGGGATGCATATGGCAACGAATGATCGCCAAAAACCCTCCGATCGCTTCCATTTGGCGGAGGGTGTCTGAGAGGGGAGGGAAGGAGGAAGCGTAGGGCGACTGAGGCGGCGAGAGAGGGTATTGTTGAAGACTTGGGGCTGAGTAAGTGGGATACTTCCCAAGTCCTGTTCCTCAATGACGAAGTCGACTTTGCGCTCCGTTGTAGGTGGTGTCGTACTCATTGTAGAGTCGGATGAAGACATCTTCGAAGAAGAGTGAACGTTCCTCCGGTGCTCCTGGAAAGGACTGATGAGTGAGGATAGCGATCGAGATGTTAAAGGAGACCCTGTTCAGTAAAAATTTCTCTCAACAAAGAAAAATAACTCTTCCACTTTGCGATTGTGGTAGCGAGTCCACGTCGCTTCCAGGTATGTACACAGCTCAGCTCACACCGTGGCGCTGACCATGTTATATACCTCTCTTGTCCGTCAACAGGCTCAACATATCCATACTACCCACTAGATAAACGAAGCATCTCTGATAGTATGTTGCATTACGAATGTGTTGTCGTGTTCGCGCATGGTGAGGATGCGGTACCGCGGTAGGTGAACCCTCTTTACATCTCGCCCAGACGGCGAGGGCGAATGAGCTCGTATGCGAGGCGGCGACCCTGACATACTTCGCTGCAGGAACGCGCAACTTAGCGACACCTTCTTGTTGACAAAAATCTGTTGTTGTCAACTTCGACCGTTACGGATGCGTAGCCAGAGAAGGTGGGCTCATGCCGCTCGTGATCCAGTGGTAACTCATTGCTGATCTCCAGCCACACCCATAATCTGGCCTGAACCGCTTCGAAGTACTGTTTCGTGCTGGTCTTGCATATCTGAAGGCTGGAGGCGTGGATCATGCACCTTGGAAGATAGGGCTGCGTCTCGGGGTGCCTCGGTGCATAGTCCGCGAGAGATGCTGACTGTCTCTGCAGTCCCAAACTATTCGAACGCCTCAATTCGGAATGGCGTTCTGTTATCCTAGGAGGTGCGCGTGTTCAGCTGACGTACACAGTACATCACCCAGCCTTGAACGCCACAGCGACGCATGGCATCGACTATGCAGGTGCACAGTCCGAACTCTCACCTCCCACACGGATCCACAAGCTCAAAACCGGGCAACTGCATCCTCTTCAGATTTGGACAGCTTCTCAACAGCAAACTCGCAATGCGCGTCGAATCACTCCCATCCCTAACCTAAAACATAGATATACTCAGTCAGCAACCCTCACACACAGAGTCCATACAAAAACACCACTCACCTCCTCAACCCAAACCCCCCAATCACTCCTCCTAACAAAGCACTCCACATTCCCTCTAATCACCGCATTCAAATCCAGCCCCTCACACTTCGGCCACGGATCCAAATTCCCGCCATACGCATGAACCACGGAAAAAGAACGGACTAGCTGGCGATGTGCCGGAGACGTCCAGAAGAGGAGGGCGAGGGGACGGAGAAATTTGAAGTCGGCGCCGTAGAGCGTGATGTGCGTGTAGAGGTGGGCTGTTGCGAGGCGGTTTAGGTGGCGGGAGACGAGGGTGAGGGTGTGGAGGGTGGTTCTGGAGGGGAGGTGAGAGAGGATTAGGTCGAGGAGTTCGTCGGGGAGGGATTCGAGGGTTGAGAGCTGCGTGTTAGAGGGAGATTGGTGTTGGGTGCACATTGTGGTGTTGGTGCTCATTTGGTGGTGATGGCGACTTGGATGATGACGATGATGATGTTAGGTAGGTGAGATGAAGCTGCTGTTATGGAACTGCGCAATAATCACAAAAGAATACCTAGGGACGTAGACAGGTAAAACCAAAAACATGCAGAGTAAGAACGCACGCGATATACACGACGATGAGCACTGGCGTGGAGCTATGGATATATCCCATGTCATTCGGCATAAGCCAAGACCAGGGTCCATTCAGGTACAATGCACGGCAGTTGTGCGATGTCGCGATCGTCTTCGGATATATCAGTCCTCTTTACCCCGCCCCCACCATTACTACCCACTTCGGCAACTACACAGGTCAAGGCATGGTAAGAGACTGAATATTGATGAGAGTCATAGTATTGTTCGTCAGATCTATTCAGTCCATATCGTATCTCATACTACAGTCTTCTCTACGCATCCAACCTGTTATCGGCCATCACGTCTACTTGAACTCCTTCATAAACTCCTCGTGGAACTTGACAATACGCCCTGTCCAGTCGGTTCCAGGAGCAAGGAAGGTTGTCCTGAAATGCAGCGTGCCTTCCTTCTGTCCGAAGCCTGTACCAGCAACAACACAGACACCTGTGGCGTCGAGCATGCGGAAGCAGTAGAACTCGTCGGGCGCGCGACCTTCCTTCTTGGCTTGTTGTACGGCCTTTTCTGGGAGGTGGATGGTGGGGAAGAGGTACATGGAGCCCTAATGTTTGGGTTAGCTATGCGATGTGTAGTTGGCGTGGGATACGTACCTGTGGCTCGTTGCACTCGACACCCTCCATCTGCTTGAACGCCTCGTACAAAGCGTACGCGCGCTTCTTCAATCCGTGGAAGATGCCGTCGTACTCCTCCTTGTAGAGCTCGTAGCTTGGCTCGCCCTCCTTTGGTGGGTTGACCATCATCTCCACGATACACTGGCCCAGGACTGGCGGGCACAGTTGAATAGAGATGAACTTGTAGACCTCCTGCGCGACCTCCGGGTCAAAGCCGATAAGCTCAAAGTAGCCACCTCGGTGACCACATTCGCCGACCATGCCCTTGGAAATTGAGTGCAGAGAAGCCAGCTCGAGGTGGTCGTACTGGCCGGGTGACTCCTTTTGCAGGTCGCGTAGAGCCTTCTTGAAGGAGATGAACTCGCCAATGAAGACGTTGGTCTGGTAGACCTCGTCGGCGATGACGACGAGACCCTTCTCGGCGGCGAACTTGAGCACAGCCTTGATGTCTTCGGCGGGCAGCGACGCGCCAGTGGGGTTACCCGGGTTGATGACGCAGATAGCCTTGACATCGGTGCCCTCCTTCACAGCCCTCTCGTATGCAGTCGCAATTGAGTCGAGTGAAGTGC